AAATTCACATTACTATAATATGAAAAACATAAAAACAAATGATTAAAACAATTTGTTGCACTGATTCCAATAACACATTGAATGTAAGTAATTTTTAACAGTGAAAAATTTACCATTGCATGTACAATAATTATAATCACCACTGAATAATGAGAAATACTGATTATTGAGGTGAAAGTGTTTTAAAAATCTTTAAAAATAGGTTTTATTTTCTTTATGCTTTTTGATTTTGGAGTGAGATCTGACAAACATGTATTAGTGATATTACAAAAATAAAAATAAAAGAGTGATGCACAAGTCTATTGGGAAAAGAAGCAGCGTGATTTCTCTCACCACTGGACTGCAGTGTTTGTTGGCTAAGATAAGGTAAAAAGTGAAGAGTTGGGGAAAAAATGAACAAATGGATCAGGAAAACAGAGGAATGAAGTGAAGAGAGATAAACAGAGCTGTTAGCGTGAGACAAAGCTTCTTTCAAAACTGTGGAGGGTTCCCATAAGCATAAACATTTTTTTGTTGGTTATCTCAGTTTTGTTCAAAGACAGAAATCTTGTGGGTCAAATTATACAAATACATATAATATATATTTGTTTATTTACAGGCATTATATTCAGGATCATAGTTGATATCTAACAAACGATTGAACATTCGGTGGTTTGAAAAGTAAAAAGACAAAATAAAATGTTTCAAAAAGCTTTCACAGATATGGGGCTGAAACAAAATGAATTATTTTGTGTTTTTTAGTAAAATTTGGAAAGTATAGATGATTGTATTTTTTTTTTCAATTAAATATTTAGTAAACCAGTTCTACATCTTTTATAAAAGTAATACTTCAGTTAATACTAGTACTATTGATGAACCTTCATCATTGGGCAACAGGAAGTCAAAGCTCTCCCTGAAATGATTTATGGGAAATTTCTGCATTTCTGATTTCCCCGACTTTAAAAAAACAACAAAAAAAAAAACAACAATAAAAAGTCATTCATGATTTCATACACACAATTTCATAATTTCATGGTGGTATAAAAATGAGCGCCCGCTTCAAATACAAAAAAAAAAAAAGGCTATTCATATGAAGATTTGGATACATCTTTATATTCTGCATTTAAATATAATATATGTGAGTGTGTATGTATACATTCACGTCCCATTCGTCTATGTATACATGCACACCAACACATCTCACGTTACATTTCTACAGTGAAAAAATAGAATGTCTTTTAACGTAATATGAGTAAAATGAGCATTATTTTTACTTGCTAATTAAAAAAAAAATGAGTACAGTATCTTTGTTAAAAAAAGCAAAACACTAAACCAAGAAATCAAATGTCTGTTAAGAAGATAATAGTCAAAATAATATAACAATAATGTATTTAAATTTTTTTCTATGATGTTACAAGAATAAGGCTTTTTGGAAATAAGATTACACACGGCTCCTTTCATTCTCTCACCAATCAGAACACTCCAGGTTCAAGCATTCTCCAGTACAGCCAATCAGCTCTAACAGCGGAGCGCAGGCCCCTCCCCCTCATACGCATATGCATGAGTGTGTAAAACAGTCCCACCTACAACAACAGATTCACAAGATAGTTGTACCGCAATTTCAGGGTGCAAACGTATGCCTGTTTCTCGCTCTTCGTTAGCCAAAATCCATTGAAGAAACACTTCAAAAACAACCAACAAATAAACGCAAGAAATCCCAAAGTAACCAGGAATGGGTCGTTGATGCTGATAACATTAATTTGGACACGCTATTTCATCCTGGGCAACTGTTGGGGCATAAGGAAATGGATTGACTGGTGGGACCAACACACGTAATCACGCTCTCGCACACTTCTGTCCATTGAATCGGACTCTTCACATGTACACGTACAGCATAATGGAGCAAAAGCAGCATGTTTGGTATCAAGAGCAAAACAAAAGCAAAAAAACAGTTGTAAGACAAAAAGTAGTTTGAAACAATGGCAATGAACGTTGGTCACTGGGGACGTCAAAGTACCGAAAGCAAGATGTAGCCACGCATCCCCTATCCGGTGCGCCAAATACATGGTTTAAGTCAACGGAGAGACCAGTCAATGTATCGGATGTAGTCGCCAAAGAAACTCGAGACTTTAGTGGTGGTTCCTCTCATCCTAATCTCCAGTTGATGCAACAGGTCACGCTCTCATTGGCTCTTGAGGATGGAAATGGAGCTACGTTGCGCCAAATAATCTCAAAACCTTGTTGGTGGTTCCTCTGGTCCTAATCTCCAGTTGATGCAACATTTCACGGTCCCATTGGATCTAAAGGATAGAAATGGAGCTACACTGCACCAAAGAAACTCAAGACTTTCTTTGGTGGTTCCTCTGGTCCTAATTTCTAGTTGATGCAACATTTCATGCTCCAATTGGCTCTCGAGAGGTGGAGATGGAGCTACATTGGCAGAAATGTTCGCTAGCATGTCCTCGAAAGCACCAAAAAACTGTCCCCACCTCAAGAAACTGATGCGATTAGGTTTCAACCAATTCCTTGAATGCCTCAGTGCCTCAAGACGTGTTGAGTTCTTGTTTGGCGACTCCAGTGGTTTCAAGAGTAGGGTTACGTTCTCAAGTGGATCAACGGTTTGCCTCGAATCGCTTCTCAAGTGGCTCCCAATTTTGTCCGAATGGCAACATGTCAAGGAGAGGCTTGGACCCAAGACGTGAGCAGCAAAAGAAGTCTTGTTTGTACCGTTGCACCAACTTCTCCATTGAAGACATCAATGAAGTCCTTTAATATGTGGACATGTTGTATCTCACCAACTTTTCCTTCATGTCTTTTTGTAATATGTTCACAGAGTTAGTTTGAAAAAAAACAATGTTTGTCCTCCACGTCAGAACACTTGAGGTAAGGTTAGTGGTCCCAAAACTAGATCGTCATTCCTGCCCTACAGCCTGAGCCAAAACGTTTGGTTCCTGCATCACGAGCTTGGGATGTAGAAGAGTTTGGGATCCATTTGCACTTCTCCAGTGTTGCTTGTCCAATTGGGGTTACGCATGAGGCGTTTTGATTGGTTCCAAAAGACGATTATTCGAAAAAATTGTATGAATTGTGTATAGTTGTCATCGTTTCATGTTTTCAAGCAAGTTTTTATGGCTCAGGAGGCTGTTGGGGGGAGGGGGTTTGTGGGGCGGGGGAAACAAAAATAGCTTTTTACGTTGCATAGTGATCAAAACTTCCAAGGTACTCCAGAGACGCCTGATAGCAAAACTGGTACTCGTCCTGTAAAGCGAAGCACAAAGGCATCAGCATAAGCATTCACTATTACTTCAATTGGCCAAATGTCCAGCAATTAAACAAAACAATCTGCTGTAAAACAGAAGCTCTGGACTCTCACCTCTGTTTGCACCATTGCTGGACGTTGCGTTCTCAGCATTTTGACCGTCTGGAAGATGTCCACCACACCCTCGTAGCGCATCCTCTCCAGCACAATGCTTAGCGTGATGAAGACCCCGGTCCGCCCAACACCGGCACTGCATTGAGGAAAGCACAAGCTTGTGTTAAAAAACACTCTCTGAAACTGAGAACTGATGATGGTACAGTAAAAAAAAGATGAGTTTGTTAGCATAGTTTGTTGCTAACTTTTTTCTGCATGGTAGTAACCTACAAGAAATTAGTATGTGAAACACTATGCAGTAATGTTGTTACATCTTTCCTGCAAAAAAAGTAGAAACATCTAAACATCCATGAAGCAAGATTTACTTGAAAAGCAAAATTGCTCAATATATTAAAATTTTTAATATATAAGATTTTTTTCTCATCCTACTAGCAAATAGTTTTCTCTTATTTTAAGTACAAATATCTGTATGAAATGGAATACCATCGTACTGCTATATTGCATTCCTCAATTTGAAATTAGTATTTGAAACTAGTTATGTAAATTAGTATGTAGTATTTTTGTCACATGACCTCACCACACTGCATCAAGTTAACATCTCAGAAAAAACATCTTTTTTTTTTGCATTATTCCATTTTTAAAAATAAATAAATAATAAAATTAATAACAATACAAAAAAAAGAAAAAAAGAATAAATGGTTAAATAAAAGTAGATTTGAAATTAAAAAAATAATAAAAATTAAAATGCCTCTCCTAAATAAACAATTTCCACCACTGTAACACCTTATGGACTTTTGTGTTTGTTTTAATTTCTTCCCTCGTGTTCTTTGACCTAGTTTCTGTCTCCCCTTGATTGTGTCATTTTGGTTCAGGTGTGTCATCAATTAGCATCATTAGCTACCCTTTACTTGTTGTGTTCAGTTCTCAGGTTATTGTCTGGTCTACTACGTCCATATGTGTGATTCCTGCCTGTCTGCCCTTGTGTGGATTTATTAAAAACTGTTTTCATTGAAACTGCATCTCCTTTGTGCGTTTATCCACTGAACTGTGACACCAATCCATTAATCCACCATTAATCCATTTATAATAAATAATAAAATATAAATAAATAAAAATAATAAAAGAACAATAAATAAATAATTTAACATAAAAATAAATATGTAGATTTGAAAATGAAAATACTATAAAAATGCTTAAATTTACAACAATACAAATAAACAAATAAAATATTAAAGGACCAATAAATAAATAAAAATAAGTAGATGTGAATATTTAAAAAAATTAATCTAAAATGCCCAATGCTCAGCCAACCAACCAATCAACCAACCAACCAATCAATCAACTAGACTTGTGCCGGTATTCGGTAATGCGATATATCACGGTAATGAATATGCACGATATTGTTATCGTGGGCACTTCTAAATACCGTGAATAATTATATATTACAAATTATTTAGAATTTTGAATGCATTTTAAGAATACTTTTCCCATCAACTGGTCAAAATGCACAACACCGCTGTATGCTGCGTGAAAGACGCGTGCGCACTCTGATGTAAATAAGCACGGTTAATAACTTCTGTAGCAAATGTAGCTATTGCTCATTGTGAATGTTAATGCGTTAACTAAGGTTAACTAATGAGGTCTTATTGTAAAGTGATACCTATTGGTCTTTATAGTTCTTTTGCACTTTAATCTGTGTAAAACTTTAACTTTATACATTTTTCTGTATTGCTTTTAAATGTTCAGTTATTTTTGTTATAAGAAAAGTTATTAAACCTGTTATACTGTATTATGACAGCACTTTTTTAAAACTAAATTTCAATATCGTGATAATACCGTATACCGTGATAAAAGCATTAGCAATTAATCGCAACATGAGAATTTGATACCGGCATCTCCCTACAATCAACCAATCAGATTTTGGTATTAAAAAAGGTGTAGTGGTCCAACAAATAAATTGGGCCATCGCGTTATTTCATTTGTCACACTGTAAGTGGAAGGTCAAGTGCATTGCATTGTGGGATATAGTATTCCATACAGTGTGCTCTTGCATACTATGCACATTATACATAATGCATACTACACTACTTCAAAAACCCTGGCTAGTATACTATTCTGAATTTACCCTATAGCCATCTAGTTAAACAGCAGTAGAATAAATCGCACTCGTTTAGTTTGAACAAACATACACGCGCGCTAAGCTCATCTCGCTGTGACAGCGCTTGAAATAGGAGTCTTAAGTCTGATTTTTCAAGGCTGCCTTCATAAGCTGCTTTGGCGCCGAGCGATTTCACCAAGCCAACAATAATTGATATGCCAACGGGCTTATTTTTCCCTTTGCCTCCACTTGGCAAGATTGAAAGTGACAAACGGCTTGGGTCTCCGATTGGTTTAGATACGCAACCAATCACAACGCACCGTTACAATGATGCAACCTCAGCAGAAGAGTCGGGCAATCTAATGAAAAACCGTTTCGGAGTCTCACGATGGTCACTGTCAGGAAAACAAAACGCTTTTGACGTTTCTGTCCGTACGTGCTGCCAAAGCCCTACAGAAAGGAGGCTGAAGAAAAGAGAAGACAGAAAGAAGTGGTTCGGTTGGCAGCCGGTCGCCGGCGTCGCACAGCTCTCAGACTTCAACCCAAGCGCTGGTTAAATAGACAGACTTTCAAATCTGACAGGCGTGAAGACGCGCTGAATGAGAGGATTTACACTTCCATTCAGTCTACGTAATCATGCAATTAATGACAAAACCATGTGGCTCTATTAGATATGAAATCTGGGAGAGATAGATGGATGGAGAGGAGAGGAATACGAGAGAAGGAGTTCAACAAGCGCTGAAAAAAACCTCAACCCTCGTCAAAGGCAAAAGGACCAAATGTAAAGAATCTTTCCTGCAAAAATCAATTATTTATTATAATTTACAAGTTTTAAAACAAGATAAATTCACTTGGCAAGCAAATTTGCATTTAAGGATTTTAATTGAATGTAATTAATTTTTTTATATACTGCAAAAAAAAAAAAAAGTCAGTATCTTCAGTATTTTTGTAATTTTCCAGTATAAATATCTAAAGATTCATAAATCAAATGACATTTACTTGTATATATATATATATATATATATATATATAAAATGAAAACAATTAAAATGTGTATTAAAAACTAATATAAGATACAGTATTATATACTAATAATCCAATATAATAATGTTACTATAGATATAGATACTATAGAGCATAAAACATTTATATTATTCCTCAAACTCAGTTTGGTTTGTCAAATGAATTTTTCTGGTTTCCAGTACAAATGTCTAAATATTCATAAACTGAATTACATTTACTTGAGAAGACAAATATTAAGTGTTGTTTTCTGAAGAATGTATCAAAATGAAGTGAGTTTAAGCTTAAAAACAAGAACAAATATCTGCCAGTAGAGTCAGAAAAATAAACTTGATTCAAAGGAAAGATTATTTTTCTGACCCCACTGGCTGAAATGTGCTCATCTTAAGAAAAAACTCCCTTCATTTTGATACATTTGTCTGGGAAAAAACACTTAGTGTGTCATTTTTGCTTCTCGATTTTAAAATGTTTAGATATTTTTACTGGAAAACAAGATGATGCAATGCTGTCAAGATCCAAAAACAGCATAAAAATGCCTCTTTGATGGAGACGCGGCGCCACATGAAGCAGAAGCTGAAGACTGAGAGACGGAGAGAAAGATGGATGAGAGATAAAAGGAAAGCAACTCCAGCCTCCTGTCGCTCAATACTCACACAAACACACGTGTGTGCAACAGCACATATATATCCAAACACTAGATTTCCTCATATGTGGCCCTGGAGCACAAAAGCAGTGTTAAGTCGCTGGGGTATATTTGTAGCAATAGCCAACAATACATTGTATGGGTCAAAATTATAGATTTTTCTTTTATGCCAAAAATCATTAGGATATTAAGTAAAGATCATGTTCCTTGAAGATATTTTGTAAATTTCCTACCGTAAATATATCAAAACTTAATTTTTGATTAGTGATATGCATTGCTAAGAACTTCATTTGGACAACTTTAAAGATGATTTTCTCAATATTTAGATTTTTTTGCACCCTCAGATTCCAGATTTTCAGATATTGTCCTATCCTAACAAACCATACATCAATGGAAAGCTTATTTATTCTGCTTTCAGATGATGATGTATAAATCTCAATTTCGAAAAATTGACCCTTATGACTGGTTTTGTGCTCCAGGGTCACATATAGGAGGTCAAAAGCCGTTTTTCTCTGCTCATGTCAGTCTATACTGAAGTCAATCCCGCCGCCGCTGTATAATGTGTTTAATATGCAGAGGAGCGCTGGACTCTCAGCAGCGTTAAACGGTTATTTCTGTGGGTCTGGAGTACGGCGTCTTGTTCATCAGTGGCCGTGGCGGATGGAGAAGGACACTTGAGTCTCTGCTCATATTGGTAAAGGAGTCACATGCATCATTACTGTACTCACACTGGCCTGCCTCGTGTCATGAGTGCTGCGCGCTAGTCTGCCTTTATTTTAACATGAGCGCTAATGACCAGCCAGCATCCAGGATCGGAAATATCCGTTTTAGAATTAAAAAAAAATCTAATGCAGTTATCGTCAAGCATGCACACATTTGTTTTAGTGTTGCATGATAGAGGTACGCGAGTCCGAGTTTATCTGTGTAACGCATTTCCAACATGCCGATAATTTCAGTATTGCCTTAAATAAAATCATTTTGGTTTGGCGTGTATAATAAATATATATTTTGTAATAATGAATGCCACTAAACTTTATGTTTGTTTTATACTTATATTTATCATTCCTGTTCTGTTGTGAATAGCTTTAAATGTAAAGGATTTGTTGCGGAGCGACGGGAAATAAAGTACATGTGCAGAGTGTTTATAATGTTTGTAAATGTATTTTTATTATTATTCTTAATATTTTATTCTTAATATTTTTTTGTATAATTTCCTTTTCATTTAAATTTTTGTTATATTATTTATATATAGTTACTTATATTTCAGTAAATTAAAAAAGTTAAAGTGAATTTGAAAAAAATATTTATATTTAAATAAATATCATATATAAGTATATTAATAAATATTATAAATATATTATAAACATATTATTATCTCTCTCTCTCTCTCTCTCTCTCTCATAAAAATAGTTTTTATTAACATTATTGAATTTGTCTTTATTTTTATAGTTTCCATTTTTATTTTAATTGTAGCTAAGGTTTGTTATTTTTTTAAATAATGTTTATATTATGTATATAGTTTTTATTAACTTAATTTCTATTTTTATTGGTCTACTCTCATTATATGAAAAAGAGCAGCGTGAACGTCCTGCTACTTAAACGTGTTACTTTATGTATTTATGTTCTCAAAGCCACAAAATCCTACACTTTACAGGTCGAGCGGTTGATAACAGATGTTTTGCGTGTGCTTCCTCACCTGCAGTGGACAGAAATGGGCCCGTCCTGTCCAAACTGCTCCTTAGTTTTATGCACCTGTCCGATGAAGTCAATGAATCCCTCTCCTGATTTGGGAACGCCCTGCTCCGGCCAGTCGGTGAACTGGAATTGCCGTACGGTCCTGGACTGGCCGTCCTGAGAGACAAACACAAACACACATAAACGCCAGTCTCTTTTACTCCCACAGTCCTTTACTTCACAGGACAGAAGTGGGTGGATGGATGGCTTTATCCGGATTGAAACATCTGCGGGTTGAGGGAAATCAATGGTGCGTCTGCCGTGATGAGCGTCATCTGGAGGAGACGCTGCTAAACGTTTGGAGAAACCCTGACGGATGAGAGGACAGAGAAACAAGCGATTGAAGGGAAGCTCAGGCAGAACCAGGCACAATTAAAGCGCGCTTGGATTTCACGGAAGGAGCCGGAAATATTCTCCCATCGCTACAGTCAGAGTCTGACGGATCAACGAAGGGAAGCTCAGGCAGAACCAGGCACAATTAAAGCGCGCTTGGATTTCACGGAAGGAGCCGGAAATATTCTCCCATTGCTACAGTCAGAGTCTGACGGATCAAACACACTGAATCACAGTCTAACGCCAGGCACTCTGCTTCCTCACATTTCTAGTTCCTTTTGCTTTTGTTAAGAAACAGATCGAATTATGTTTCAGTTAATCGCATAAAAACTTGACTATTAATTGGTTCATGAATTTGTTTTATGAATATTTTTACATTTGTTTTATGTTTAATAATTTTAAATATCAACATGTTAATAATTTTTTAATAATGAAATATTTAATTAGTATATTTACTTACAATTATTTTT